ATATATATAATGTTTTTTTAGTACGAACTGTCCAATTTATGGACTTCAGACTGGTCAAATGACATTCCTCAAAGAAAGCCTGCTCCCGGCAGCAGGCAAAAAACTGCCCTTCTCTTGTTAAATCCTAAATTGAAACGGAGGACGGAGAAAACATTGACAAACGATCTTCGCATCACCTGGATTGCGGGTGACCGGTCAGTGTGGGAATACTTTCAAGAAAAGGTCACTACCAACTAAATGCAACTTTCCCACCAGTTCCACTTCAAAAAATATTACGTTACCTAGCAACTAGACAAAATTTAAACAAAACCAAAAACGCTATAGGAATAATGGACGACTTAACGACTAGCCTGGACAAAATTTGCAGGCAACATAGTAAGTTTGTTCACTTACGAGTTCATATGGTTGTAACGAAACATTAGGTTATAAACAATGGGCCTTCAGGATTTAGTGCGACCAGTCTGGTAGACCCAAGCGAACGAAGTGGGTGTAGACCGTAACTGGACTATCTAAGCAGAAATCTGGTTGAAATCAGGTTACGAGTAATGAATAAATAAAGGCCAAGGTACGTAAAATTTGGAAGAAGGAAGTAATTTTCTAAAAAGTTCTGCCGGTGCCCTGTCGTCCTCACTTTCTATCACCTGCAGGCTTCCACCAGCAGTTATTCTGTTGTTGCATCGTCGTTACTCGCTATTCGTTACCCGTCACAAAAATCAACTTCTTATCACGCCAGCCATCTTCTACTGTGCTTAATTGCAACGACAGCCGTACCGTGGAGATCCGTGATTGTTCGCTTGCATTCCACCTGCTCAGACCTCAATATATCTCAAGTGTATGAAATCATAGCAAAAAGACTATTGGCGGAATCAGTAGTTCGTCTGCAAAGACAATTTTAATCCTGGAAACATCAAAAACGAGAGATTCGGCTGGGTTCCAGGTTAGTCTCTCACAAAGCAAAATTTGTTTGTAAGTGAGTGTATTTCACTATCTCTCCATCTCATCTGGTCAGATACCCGTAGATGTTTAGATAAGTTGGCGAAATACAATTATTTTCGAGAGACTCACCTAGAACCCAGCTGAATCTCTCATTTGCTCATCCGCGCCCTATTAACTATTAATTTTCATCTACTCATAAGTAGCTTGCTTATTCTTCCGATGTCCACATAGACCTTCGGGTATATCCGATTGTCATTTTTCGGATTACGCTGCGGTTTTCGTACCCATTGACTGTAAGCGCAATATTCCTTGGAATACCTGTTGCAATCAACGGAACTATTGCCCACCGTTGCGGTGATTCGGGTCATGCTGAAATGTGCACTTGCTTTTTTAAAAAGCTCAAAAACCAGAATACCCGATAGTTTCAGTCATTTTGAAATTAGCAGTGACATGAATAGTGATCACGGGGTAGAGGAACAATAAGGTTCTCATATGAACTACGATGAGGGTTTCAGAGCCCACTAAATCCACTTCTGTGGTGAAACTTATCGGACCAATGATTCCGCGAACAATCTGTGGTAAAGACTGCTGACAAGAAATTTCACGTAAACGCAATGCAGACGACAAAGAGCATGCAACTGGCCAGATATGACTGAATGTTGAACAAAACGTTACGTTCGTGTGCGGATGGACGGCATGTAATGATGCCCGTTTTTGTTGAAGATTGCGGTGTTATGGAAACTGAACCAGGTGACAAAAATGGGTCTATGTACGCTCAAGAATAGAGAGATGAAAAAGTTAGCCACAGGTTAGCCGACTAAGGAGCATTTTGAGCCCACTTACGGTAATTACAGGGTCTTGAATCCAGCATGGAAGCCACCATGACGTTATAGGATGCAATGCTAATGAAGTAGCATTGTAACAAGTCGTCATCAACAAAACATGGGTAGTGATAACAAGAATTATCTCGACTACTCTCAGTTGTACGCGAATTTCCTTTTGAGACGGGACTCAACTGAAAATAGCCGAATCTCCCGTTCATGATCGTCCGCTTCAACCGAATGTGCTACCCCATGTTTTGGCTGGTACGATATTCACGATATCGCAACTCACTGTCTAAACGTAACACACCACGGATAAGCTTGCCAAACTCTTTTCGATGGTTGCAAAGACTTGGTCATTGATGTGCTGCTGCAGTTAGGAAAATCTTACGCAAAGGTTCGATATGACACCTGGCTCAAGGTGCAATTAACGGGAAATTCCCGGGTCTGTGATTGTTGTCTGAGGGAACGATGTGAGCTGCCCAAGTTAGCAGGGAACATAGATGAAAAGGACTAATTTCCCCCCCCCCCATTGGGGCGTTACTTCGTTAGGTTGTCTTACTTACTACATCACCGTAAATAAAACCGGTTTCTTGACATGGTGTAGAACGTGTTACAAACAACAGGTTAGCTAAGCATTGCGCCTAGGCCCCAACAGACATACACTGCAATTTAACACAATTGAGAACAACGACTGAAGAAGTTCCAACTAGAAAGAAAGAATGAACCGTCTTCCCTACATTGATGTGGATGACTAAACTTCATTTCAGTTTAAAAAACATCGTGGAAATCAATCCTAATTGAAATTCAAACAATGACAGTCACGCAATTCTACGAATTTCATGGGTCTCATGATCATGCATTAATTATGAATTAACGGGAAATTCCCGGGTCTGTGATTGTTGTCTGAGGGAACGATGTGAGCTGCCCAAGTTAGCAGGGAACATAGATGAAAAGGACTAATTTCCTCCACCCCCATTGGGGCGTTACTTCGTTAGGTTGTCTTACTTACTACATCACCGTAAATAAAACCGGTTTCTTGACATGGTGTAGAACGTGTTACAAACAACAGGTTAGCTAAGCATTGCGCCTAGGCCCCAACAGACATACACTGCAATTTAACACAATTGAGAACAACGACTGAAGAAGTTCCAACTAGAAAGAAAGAATGAACCGTCTTCCCTACATTGATGTGGATGACTAAACTTCATTTCAGTTTAAAAAACATCGTGGAAATCAATCCTAATTGAAATTCAAACAATGACAGTCACGCAATTCTATGAATTTCATGGGTTTCATGATCATGCATTAATTATGACAGCCACGACATTTATTTCAAATTTCCCCCCCCCCTCAATCAACAATCATCAATCATTCTTACTGTTACAGTTTGATTCATACGACTTTTTTCTGTTGGGAAACTTCGAAAAAGGGCCAAAGTGTGTTAAAAGCACACGATGCAATATACGACTAATGTGAATTCGGTTGCCGTGTTGTGCATGCATAAATGTGAGAACATGCGCGAAGGAACTGCATCCATAAGGAAAGGTTCAACCTCACTGTTGGATCACACCCACCCTGTCCAGCAGTTGTTCAACGCTCAGGCAAGCAACACGGTCTCAGCAACGCGTATTGGTTCACGCGAACAGGACTGCCTCATGTGACAATGGGCCAGTAAAACATGAAGTCGTACAAGATGTCACAGCATACCATCTACGCACGTGTGATAAATCGCATCAACATAGGTATGGGAGAACCGCCAGCGATAGTACACGTGAAATATGGGTGCGTCCAGACTGGATGTTAAAATCTGAGAAATCTAAAGTTTCACAGCAAAAAAGAACGCAAGTAGGGAAGAAGGGTTGTATGAGTTGACAAATGCATTACTGTAAAAAGCTTGTTCGAAATGGTAGGAATGGCGGTACAGCACGTGGACAGTATAAACAGTCGGCTCTAGGAATAGTGACTGCCGTTTGGTGAGGAAGCCCGCGCGGGAGAACGTCCGACCGGGAACCAACTTATGAAAATATGACCGTCGCCTTGGTGGACTAAATTGTCCAAACATAACAGGTGCTAATCATGATTGTTTGCTTTTCAATATAGATTGGCTTCACTTACAGGATGAAATTTCGTATCCCACACTACCAGCAATCTGTCAGTAAATCAGAGGGATGGTAAAGTTTATCCGATGAGCTAAAAAATCAACCTGAGAAGCCGTCACTCGAGGATCAGACCAACACATGTGACCACGTGATGCGGATCCCGTGAATGAAGGATGAGTGGCACTACACCCCGTCTATGTGCGAGGCAATCACACTTGACGTATTCGGAAAAATCCCACTGAGTGATGCACGAAGTCAAATCCAGATTACAAAGTATCGAGACTTACATAAAATGCGATACTGCATGTACAAAACTACGTATATGAAAGAAATGCGAACATCAAATTATGGGGATTACCGTCTAAATTGT